GGGCTGTGGGCTCCAGGTGGGCTCTGGGGAGAGGATGAAGCAGGTAGGGCCGCCGGGAGGCCGGGGGCAGGAGGGTGAGGGAGATGACAGGCGGAGCCTGTGGGAGCGCTGGGGGAAGCGAGGAGGAGGGATACGCAGGCCGGGGCCTGGGCCTGGGCCTGGTCCTGGTCCTGGTCCTGGGCGGGACCCCAGGTGGTCCTCCTGGACCCAGGAGGGTGGAAGGCCTGGGATTGCAGCCGCGGGGGAGGGGCCCTGCCAGCGAGGGGGTGGGGTGGGGATGTGCACCGCCTGCCTGCCTGCCACCTCTGTTTGGTGTCCCCCAGGCCCTGGTGGACGATACTGAGGACGTGTCCCTGGACTTTGGCAACGAAGAGGAGCTGGCCTTTCGGAAAGCCAAGATTAGGTATGTTAGGGACCCGGCTTTGGCAAGCATCACCCAAAGCTGCAAATTCGCTTAATTACATTGATTCACACACCCATTCATTCATTCATTCATTCAGAATGTGTTGAGCACCTAGTGTGTGCCAGGCATAGGACTAGGGACATACCCTGGGCAGATCAGACAATGTCCCTACCCTCCTGGGGCCTGAAGTCTGGGGTGCTGGGGGAGTAACAGTGAACAGGCATATAAAGATGGTCATGAGATAATGACAGAGTATGAGAAGATTTGGGAAGTATGAGAAGAATTTGGGTGATGAGGGAAGGCCGTGCAGTCAGGAAGGGCCTCTCTGGGGAGGTGGCATTTGAACTGTGACCTGAATGCTGAGAAGCCCGCCATGGGAGACTCTGGAGGAAGACTGTTCCAAGCAGAAGAACAGCAGGTGCAAAGGCCCTGGGGCTGTGTTGGAAGGTTGGAGAAAGGCCCCTGTGTCTGGGGGTGGTGGGGAAAGGAGGGGGTTGGCAGGAGGCTGGAGAGCAGGACAGGGGCTTAACTTTTTCTTCTTACCCCTGGGTCAGCACCAGGCAGACTAACATAGTATCCTGGGTTGAGTCACTTGCCTACCAGAGGTCTTCCCAGAAGATGGCAGGACTAGGGTGTGAGGAATGACCCACAGACATGGTTGCCGATGACCCGGGCAGCTGCCACATCTAGAAACGCCCATGGCTCAGCCACCCTTACTCCCATCTCTCCTTCCAGCCCTCCGAGTCAGCGGGGTGGGGGCCTGGTGCCTACCTGCCGTTTCTTTTCAGTTCTCGATCCAAATCCACTGAAGCCCAAATTGGAATATGACTGCACTGGGCTACTACGACAAATTACTATAAACTTGTTGACTTAAAAACAGCAGAAATTTATTCTCTCACGCTTCTGTAGGCCGGAGGTCCAAAATCAGTGTCACTAGGCCAAAAAAAGGCGTCGGCAGGACCATACCCCGCCGGAGGCTGTCGGGGAAAATCTGGCCCTTGCCTTTTGCAGCTTCCGGTGGGTGCGAGGCCAGCACTGTAGCATCTCTGAATCTCTCTCCGCTCCATTTCCCGCTGCCTTTTCTGTGTCAGACGTCCCTGTCTTCCTCCGCTAGGGTTGCTTGTGAATGCATTTGGGGCCCGTCCGGATTGTCGAGGATAAGCCCTCCATCTCAAGATCCTTCACTTAATCACACAAGCAGAGTCCCTTTTGCCACGTCAAGCGACATCCACAGGTTCCAGGGATTAGGACCTGGATATTTGGGGAGGGGCATTCTTCAGCCTGCCGTAATGACCCGTGACTAATTGTCTTTCAGGAAAGACACTGTAAGGGAACTGGAATCCTGGGAGAAAATCTTATAGAGCATCCGTACTCATTATATGGCCAACTCTGGGCTGGTGGCCGGGACAACATAGCATACAGGACGCACTCCCTTCCTTTACGGAGTTGTCCAGTCTGGAGCAGGGATGGTCAACCCCAACATGGCCGACATCTTGGGCTGGATGATTCTTTGTTGTAGGGGTTGTCCTGTGCATTGTAGGATACTAGCGGTGTTCCTGGCCTCTACCCACCGGATGCCAGTATTATCTTCCCAGTAATGAATCTAGACACTGCCAGGTGTCCCCCTGGGGGCAGACTTGCCCCTAGCTGACAATTGCTGGTGAGGGGGTAATGGGCGTAGGTGTTCCCGTGGCTGTTGTGTCTCAGTGTTTAAATGCCGTGGTGGGCAAGAGCTTGAGCAATTGTCCTGGTTAGGGGAGCGGCAGCAGCTCAGACCTGAAGGGTGGGGAGGAGTTAGCCAAGCAGGGAAGGCAGGAAGCGTATGACACGCCCTGGTTTGGAGGTGAGACCATGAGTTTCAGGAGTTGACAGCGGTTCACTGTGACTCAAGACCAAGGACGCCGGGAGGGGTCTGAGCAGAGGATGCGGCCAGACCCCGAAGGGCTCGTAAGCACAGTTGTAGAGCTCTGCTGTCCGCTAGAACTTTCTCTGGGGACGGGAGTGTGCTATATCTGTGCTGTCCAATATGGTAGCCACCAGCCACCCTGTGGCTCTTGACCATTTGGTATGTGGCTAGTGTGAACTTTGGGCGGAACTTTGGACATTTGATCTTACTTTGTTTATTTTACTTTATTTTTTAAAGATTTTATTATCTTATTTTATTGTTTATTAATTTTTTTTGAGAGAGAGCGTGAGCACAGGTAGAGAGAGAGGGAGGCAGAGAGAATCCCAAGCAGGATCGGCACCATCAGCGCAGAGCGTCACATGGGGCTGGAACTCACAAGCCGTGAGATCGTGACCTGAATCGAAATCAGGAGTCACACTCCACCCACTGAGCTGCCCCGGTGCCCGTAAAGATTGTATCGTTTTAAGTAATCTCTACACCCAACATGGGGCTCGAACTCACAAGCCTGAGATCAAGAATTCCATGCTCCACCAACTGAGCCAGCCAGGCGCCCCTAATTGTGTTTAAATTTCTTTAACCACATGCAGCTACCATATTGGACAGTGCAGTTCCAGAGTTTGGTCACCACTGTAGAGTTTTGCTCCGGGCGGTGACAGGATCGGAGTTGCAGGACGGAGGATGGACGGTAGAGGAAGGTGGAAACAGGGAGCAGAAGCTTGGACCGCGGTGCTGGCAGGGGTGATGGAGGGCAGTAGGGGTGCCCAGAGGCACATAGGCAGTAGAATCAGCCATCCTTGGTGATGGTCAAGATGTAGGGTGGGGACAGGGACAGTAAAGGGCGACGCCCGGGTTTCTGGCCTAGTGATACCTGCAAAGGAACACTTCTGGGGTCACGGATGTTGGGTTCAGGAAGTCCTTGTTGGATTGTACTGGAATGGCTACTAGCCGGGTCTCGTGGGCAGCTGGGGAGAGAGGCTGGGAGCTGGAGGGATCATCTGGACAGCGTTCAGAGGTCAGGGGGGCCACAGCTCACGAACCCAAATGTGTCTCAGAGCCGCCAATCCCAGAATCCTCTGGTGTGCCTCATGCAGGTTTCTGGGCCCAGCTCTGCACCTACTTAACCAGATCCACAGAGCACGGGCCTGGGAACGCGAATTTAAAATAGCATCTCTCCTTGACTCTGATGATCAAGGATATGGAGATGGCTGGAAATTCTTGAGGATAAATGAGCTCCTGGATAGCAGGGCGGAAAGGGGGTTCTAAACGTGGTCAATGGAGGGGTTTCACGGGGTCCAGAAACCCTCTGAAAACTAGTGTCTAAGTTTCCTGTGTGTTGCTTTAGGAAAAGGATTGAGACTTTTATTAGATTGCCAAATGAGCCCATGATCCAAAGAAGTTAAGAGTCACTGGTACAGGGCAGGAATCACTTGGGAATGTCCTGTTGAAATGGATGCCAGGTTGACTTTGAAGGGAGGTGACGTGACGGAAGGGGCCCTATAGCAGGAGTCTGGGATATCGGGGCCACTTCTTTTACTGCTTGCTGTCTTTGTGGTTTTGGAAAGGTCACCTTGTTTCGCTGAGCCTCCTTAACCTGTCTGTAAAATGGGTATAATTGTACCAGCTTGACCTCACCGTGTGGATTTTATACAGTTTGTTGAGCAAATAATTAGCCAACATCTGCTGGATATCAGGTGCTGAGCCATGGGGTAGAGACCAGACCTGTTCCTCCCCTTCCTGTCCCCAGTTCTAGGTCATCGAGGTGCATTGTTGTGGAAGGGGGTCTTGGGGGGGCACCTGGCTGTATCGGGGGAGGATGCGATCCCACAGCACACCTGGGCAGGTAGAGGAACTGTTAGCCAAGTTCTCTGAGTGTGTGTGTGTGTGTGTGTGTGTGTCTGTGTTCCTCACTGGCTTCCTTTTCCTCTTTCTTTCTTCCTCCCTTTTCTTTCTTTCTTTCTTTCTTTCTTTCTTTCTTTCTTTCTTTCTTTCTCCCTTTTCTTTCTTTCTTTCTCCCTTTTCTTTTTCTTTCTTTCTTTCTCCCTTTTCTTTCTTTCTTTCTTTCTTTCTTTCTTTCTTTCTTTCTTTCTTTCTCCCTTTTCTTTCCTTTTCTTTCTTTCTGTCTCCCTTTTCTTCCTTCCTTCCTTCCTTCTTTCTTTCCTTTCCTTTCCTTTCCTTTCCTTTCCTTTCCTTTCCTTTCCTTTCCTTTCCCCCTCTCTCTCGCTTGCTTTCTTTCCTTTTTTTTAATTGTGGAAAAACCCCACAACCTGAAAGTTACCAGTTTTAAGGACTTTTAAGCCTACCATTCAGTAGCATTAAATATATTTGTGCTGTTGTGCAGCACACCTCCAGAACTTTCTTGCAGATCTGAAGCTCAGTACCCATTAAACACCTCCCCCTTTCCCCCGCCCCAGTCCCTGGCAACCAGCTTTCTTCTTTCAGTCCCTGTGAATGTGACAACTTCGGATACTTCGTGTAAGTGGAATCACATAGAATCTGTGCCTGGCTCGTTTCACTTAACATAAATGTCCTTGAGGTACGTCCATATTTTAGCAGGTGTCAGAATTTCCTTCCTTTTTAAAGGCTGAGCAGTGATATACCACACTGAGTCCTTCCGTTTTTCTGTCGGTGGACCCTGGCTTGCTTCTTGGGTTTAGCTCTTGCGAATAGTACCTCCAGGAACGTGGATACACACATATATCTTCCAGACCCTGCTTTCAGTGCATACCCAGCTGTGGAACTGCTGTGTCCTGAGGAAATTCTGTGTGTAATTTTTTGGGGAACTTCCGTACCATTTTCCATAACACTTGTATCATTTGGCAATCCTGCCAGCGACGGGCAGGACTAATTTCTCCACATCTTCACCAGCACTTGTTATTTTCTGGGTTTTTTTTCATAGTAGCCATCCCGATGGATGTGGGGTGTCTCATGGGGTGTCGATTGACATTTCGTTGGTGATTGTTGATGAGAATCTTCTACTGAGCCTGTTGGCTATTTGTATGTCTTCCTTCGAGAAATGTCCATCCAAGTCCTTTGTTCATGTCTTTTTAAAAATTGTTCTTAATGTTATTCATTTTTGAGAGATGGAGAGAGACAG